AGTCCCACAAATTCATTAATTTTACACAAAGGTTTCTGTTTTTCATCGGTTTCATAAAACCATTTTTTCAACTTTTATCTATAAAGTTAATATTCCTGAGCAAAAAATTGATCGAGCATTTATCTTTATAAAATAAATTTTGTTTATCAACTGTCGGATTTTATAAGAATTTTATTTTTATAAAAATGAAAAAGATTACCTATTTGCCAAATAATAGTGCCTTTGCCTAATCCTTGACTTAAACCGCTTAAGAAGTCAAAATTTTTAACTTTGCAAATATCTGTATATAACCCACACCCTTTCGGAAAGGGTGGACGAACGAAGTACAGGGTTGTATTGAAAATTACTAATTGAAAATATAAGAAAATAATTTTATAAAAATTATATAAGTTGAACTGAAATTATAAAAATCGATACATACATGGATCAATTATAGTAAAAAAAAGTTATTAGCAGAGTCTTTCAGAGTTTCGTGCACTAAAGCTCTGTACAGAATCTAAAAAATGTGATACAAGAAACTTAATTATTTATTTATTATATAATCAATACACAAAACACTAAATTATTTTCTACTATAATAATAAAATTTTAATGAATAAAACTTACGAAGTTATTTTATCCTTAATGAGCTTTCGAGCTTCGGCTTTGCAAACTCAAGTGCCAGGTTTGAACTTTGGAGTTTTTCCATTTTTTTAGTTGACTATACTAGCATCACAAATTAATAATTTCTTTGTTGTTGTTGTTAACAGATTTAATTAATCAAAATATTTAGTCTGCTATGTCTGATCTAGCAGATCTATATAATATAATCTAAATCTATTGAATAAAATAATGTATAATTGAATGATACTCCATACTACCATACATGAGCTTTCATTGTAAAAGTTATTTGGTGAAAAAATGAGTTTCGAGAAAATATTAATTTAAAATTGTTTAATCCATCTTTTATACAAAATATCAATTTATTATTACCATCCTCCTCTGTTTTGTAGATAAACACAGGAATCAAATATTGCTCGAGTAGCTTTTCTTAGAGAGCCCTTGTAAACTTTGCGATCCTTCATAATCTTCTGTTAATCTCCTAGGGATATATTTATTTGCACGGTAGCCAAACCCCAAATAAAAGACTTATGCATGTCATAAATATTGCTAGAACTGAATACATAAAATATTGCTACTAGATTAAAATTTAGATTTCAAAGAAATGAGCAGTAAAATTTCCCACTTAATTTAGAAAATTAAAATTTTGCTTATTTTGGAATTGAATATGTTGCACAAAGTAAATTTTTGGAAGGGTTTAAGTTTTGGCATTTTCTGTTCAACTAATATTTAAATGCACATTTTTGAATATTGAATTATCGATGATACTAGAGAATATTCCAGGATATATCATATTTTATGTACACATACTTGGATAAACAAATAGAATATAATATTTAATTTAGTTTTATTGATGGCATTTCTATACCATGCGCCTTGATTTAAGTAAATTATTTAACTATTAATTTTATAAAATTGATTGACGTAATTAGGATTTTTCTAGTATTTAAATATTGAGTTTCAAGGATGGGATTAATATATATTAATATATATAAAACAATGTTAATAAGACAACTAAAAATTTCAAGAGAAAAAAGTTCTATTGGCACAATGGAGATTAAATACAATTTAAAATAATACAATTCAATAAATACAACTAAATAATTTAAAATAAATACAATTTAAAATAAAACAACTGTGTCATTGCAACTAGCATTTTCAAAAAATTGATGGTTCTTATCGTTTTAAATGATTACATCAGTTAATCATTCAAAATGACCTTTGCTAATTAAATGAGAAGAATAATTGTTTAATGATATTATCTGTAAACCTTGGGCTTATTTAGAAAAGTCAAATTTAACAGCAGAAGTTGCAAGTTATGACTAATAATGTTTATGAATTTAATAATTATAAATATCAAGTACAGCCTGACTTCTCTATATCAACTTCTGTGTATCGATAATAGATTTTTTTATAATATTTTTAGAAAATCATTTTGAATTATCCTATAATTTTAGTTATAAAACTTGCTGATTCGATAAAATTAATTCGATTCTTCGAGCACTATTAATTTTATAGTATCTCTATATTTCTAATTACTATTTTGGTATAACCCAGTATCTTAAAAGAACTAATTTTAAAAATTTAGAATTTATATATGCTTCAGATTTTGAATAATAAATCATTCAAATCATTTAGCTTTACAAATAAAATGTGATCTTTAATACCAATTCAAATCATTTTTTAAATGTAGCAATTTTCAAAATTTTAAAATAAAAATGTAATTTTCTCAATCATTTACACCAATAATATAAATTTAACGCAATTCTATAATTTCTGGTTTGTGTATTTAAGGATTTGTTATACAAAACCATTTAACCGTTAATACTAGGTCATATAAATATTTCTCTTATGGGTAACTGTAAATTTTGAAAATATTGTATTGTACTCAGGTACCAATACGGTTTAAATCCTTTGATAACCTGATTTGTCATAATCGGAGGCATTCAATATAATAACTAAAGTAAATTTTTATTTGGAGTGTAATATAAACTCATTCAGTAAGAAAATAATGAGAAATATATTAGTAAAGTATATCTATTAGTAATGGATTTTGCATTCAATTTAAATGCTAATAGGAAGATATAAAATGTAACAGTGTACTAGCAACTAGTAGTTATTTAGATAGAATTAAAATAAAGCAAAAGACTTTATATTTTGCAAGGAGGATATCTCATATTCAATTCAACATATAAGTATTTTCATACGGTTTTCCTAAATAAAAGTATTGCTTGACACGATCAATTTTGAAGTCTCTATACTGAGAGAACTATGGAAAAAAGAAAATAAAAGTTTTTTTTGGAAATGAACCTTAAAAAATCACAGGACAACTATAGAAGATTGCTGATAAATTTATAGAACAAAGTTTGATTTTATAGATTAAAAATTTGCATAACTTCAACTATTATTTATTTTAGATGGTATTGACCAGTAATTTCCAATGTAGCTTTAGACCAGTAATTCCCAAAATGGCTATTAGGAGTGAAAACTGATATATTAAATAATATTAATTTTTTAATACTAAATTTAAGTTAGAGTTTGATTTGAGCCGTAATTAATTGATGAAATTGATTGAAGGGGTATTCCTTTGAACCTAGAGCATAAATCTTGAAGGCAAGTTGGCTCTTATTTCATTTTTACACCACAAATTTCCCTTCGATAATTTACTTGTATTAACAGTAAATATTTATCAATTTTATTAAAGAAACTAGTTGTGTATGGCATCGTGCCTTAAGGCAAATTGCTGGAAATTTCCTCACCTAAATAAACAAAAATTAATCAATCGGATTTAAAATCAAGTACATTGTCTAATATTCATAACAATTATATAAACTGAATTGTTACGTTTGAACTTATATAAAAAATTTATTTGTAGTATACAAATTAGATAAAAATCAAATAATGATTTTTTTTTTCTTTTGCAACAGCAATTACTTCGTCAACACTAGCAGAAAGTTTTTTAAATCATTCAAATCTTGCTTAGTTCTCTCAAAAATTGCCATATTTTTCTCATTTAGCTTCGTATCTCCGAAACGGCTAGACCTGCCTTTGCCAAAAACTAATTACCACTACTTCCCATCATTACAAATGGAATGTTTTCTAGATCATTCAAATCCGATGCTCCTTCTCTCAAAACTCGATTTCGATTTTTTGCACTCTTTGTTTGAAATCTCCGAACGACCTTGTTTTGCCTTTGCCAAAAACTAATCAGCACATCTCTGTCAATAGGAATCGAAGTTTTTTGGATTATTCAAATCGGTTGATCCGTGCGCTCGAAAACGAGGACAAAAACTGTATCTATACATACATACACATACATCCATGTTTTTGGAGGTATGCCAAAAATTCAAAACCTCTGAAACGTGAAGATATGCAAAAATTTTTAATTTAGATTTTTAGACGATTACAATAACTTACCCTACGAAAGGAAAAAATAATTCAAATAATGTATTAGAATTTTTGGTTATTATTAAAGACTATAATAAACACAAATTCAATATATTATATCTACTCTAAAATAAACTAAAAAATAGTTCCACCAGTACCATGTTGTAATATGAAATTTTAATAATAATATTTTATCTTACAAATGTTATAAAAGTGGCAGTTGCAAACATTCATTCCAGTGATAATGAAAAATGTAATAATAATTTTAAAATGAATATTGTGATAGTAATAAAAATTATATGAATCACAAGCAGTTTACATCAGTTTAGTAAAATATTACTAATTTACCAATATTGATTATAAATTTTGTAATGGATACCACAACCGATAACTAACAATTCTCTATATACACAATAATTTCATTATTGACTCCTCAACAGAAATTTAGCTTGCATCACCTACTATTAAAATCACAACCTGCCACAATATCGTCCTAATAAAATCATCACATTTCCACCAAAATCGTGACTTGCAAACTAGGTTTCATCTAAAATTCATCTCTACCTGTAGTATTCCGATTGCATTTACCTGTCGAAATATCTACCTACCTACGTATTTTCATGGGGAACCGCCCATAGAGCTTTCATTGGCTCGGAGCACCGCCAATAACCACCAAGACCTCCCGTCTAATAGAGGCCTGGTGGTTCATGCGCCATGCGGAGGATGATGATTACTCAGTCGTACACGGAACGTTATGTAAGACGGGTGTATAAGTGAATTTCTTTTGAGTTTTTTTTAAAGGACCGAGGATATATGTGATACAGACATGGTTTGAGTTAGTTTAAAATATTAAAAAAATTGACAGTGTGTGACTTTGAATACAAATTTCATAATTAGGTGGTAGTAATTATGTACATTTTATGTAGTGTCAAAAGTACTTGGTGTAATTTATAAAAACAATTGGTGAAGTGTTGAAGTGAATCCAATATTTTTATGGACTATATTGCTATGGTATCGATAATTGATAGTATAAAAACATTTTTATATCAATTTTGACATCAACCGTGCAGTGATTTTTTAGTGTATCGTCAAATGTGTGTACAAATTTAATAATTTATATCTGACCATTATTACTATATCCTCTTACAATGAACGCCTTCGCCGATAGCAATAACCACTTAGCATCCTACGGTTTCAAAATGTCACCAGTCGGTCACGATGGCTTAAGCCCCGAACCAACTTTAGGACAAACTGGTACCCAATATGGACACCACCATTTCCCGAACCAAACCCACCATACGCACCAGCAACAACATTATAACCCTGCCAACTCTACTGGTGTTGGCAGCCCAGCGTACTCAGCTAGAGATTTTTTGTTGAGGAGAGAAGACGCCTTTGCTAGTCACCAGATTTCGAACCAGGAACCAGGATTGTTTTCTCAGTTGCACCATGAAGCACCGGCGTATATGCACCATGCTGGTTACCATCATCCGCATCATATAAATCAATATCCTTACCATAATGGACAGTCTGCCATTTCGGGATCGTCGTATCATGGGGCATTTTATAGGTAAAATAAGAAATATTTGGTAATAAATTGTTGTTTTATTGTTTTTACACATGTAACAAATAATAGATTTATTATCTTTTTATAATGACTTTTTATTAAACCGAGCGTTTAGTTTTCATATCAAACATTTCTTTTTAATTTTTTATTGGCCTCCGCTTTGCAGCATTTTTAACCACCTACATTACTCATATTATTTTTCATCATATTTCTATACATTCTTACATATATATCTTATACATTCTCATATATATATACTATCTCTTTATATCCTAATCTTCCATTCAATTTACTTTTTCAATTCTTATGTTCTTCTCATCTTCTAAACTTCTTTTTTTCTTCTTACTTCTAATACAATTTATCAAACATTTAGCAAGCTTAAATTGTAGCTAATTTAAGCTTGCTAAATTAAATAATTTGTGCAAATTTTTACATTTCATATAATTAAGATTAAAATCTAATGAAATTAATTTATTTAGCATGGTCTGATGCGCACCAAGTTCAAATTGAATAAATATAATTTAAACTAATAAAAACAACTTGATTTTTATAGTACATTCAGCATAAACTCATCAAAAATCTGGTATAATTTTCATTACAAGATTTTCATAAAGCAATTCTAAGCCCAGTAATAAACAAGAGCCATATGACTACTAGTTCAAAAAAATAATTAAATAATAAACAAAATGTAATAAACGATGAATATTCGTGAATATTCGGAAATTAATTTACATTTTGACAAAGGACTTATATATGCTTCGAGTAATGTTATAAATAGTTATGAAATACATTGATAATTGTAATAATATTATTAAATTTTAGCAATATTATTAATCATTATCTCATTTAAGTAATTCTCTATAAAAATCATACTACGAGCACTGTTAAGCCTTCTGCAATTAATGCAGAAATTAATAATATTTAATACTGTATCACATAATATATTTTAATTGCAGTAAACATTACATACATTTTTAAAATAACACCAAGTAGGATCTAGAAAGTACATTTATAACTAATTTATTTCTCATATTTTATTATAATTCAGTATTATATCTGTTTGCAATGTAATACAGTATAATATAGAATTATTTCAATCACATTGAGCTTATATTTTTTTACTATTATATATAACAATGTTAATTGATTATTAAGAATTGTAACTTATTACATTGATATTCGTGATGATATTACAAAATTGCAATATTATTAATCTATATCTCATTAAATAATTTTCTATAAAAAGCACGGTTAAGTTTTCGCAACTATTATATTTAATACTGTATCCACATAATGTTTTTAAATTGCAGTGAACATGACATGCATTTTTATAATATCAATTATAATCAATAAAGAACATATGTACTAATTTAATCCTCATATTTCATTATAATCCAGTACGATAATTGTATCATATTTGTGTGCAATGTAATACAGTATAATACAAAATAATTTCAGTCACATCGAGCTTATTTTTTACAAAACAATCTGGCGGATTATAAGAAATATATTAAAATATTGTTAATTGATTATTGAAAGTTTTTATTATTTTGTTTCAGGTATACACGCCAAAATCACGTAAGCGACGGCTTGCCCACCTCTGCATCTCCCAGCACCATGGGAATGCGCGGAGAGCTCTTGCGCTGTCTCTGGATAGATTCCGAAGCCATCGACGCGCCGACCCTGTCCACCCTCGACCCGGACCGATCCGGCACCGCCGTTTGCGGAAAAACTTTCCGGTCCATGCACGATATCGTTTCCCATTTGACGGTAGAACATGTCGGAGGTCCAGAACGGGCAGATCATTCTTGTCGATGGGCTGGTTGTTCCAGATCCGGCAGAGCTTTCAAAGCGAAGTACAAGCTGGTGAACCACATCAGGGTGCACACTGGCGAAAAACCGTTCCGTGCCCGTTTCCTGCTTGCGAAAAGTTTTTGCAAGGAGTGAAAACTTGAAAATGAAAATACATAAGAGGACACATACAGGTCAGTGGTAGTAAATTATCCGTTTTTTTCATATAACAAATGCAAAACAATATATACGTACGAACTGTTCCTAATTTTTCTTTTCGTTGATCTTACCTGTAGCGATGTCCCGAAATCTTTTCAAACAAATCCATTGTCAAAAGAAAGGTCATCTTAAATAAAAGCGTTTCATATTAATTTGACCGTTGTAAATCATTTTATTCATGTGGCCATAAACACCAAGCGCTGTTTAAAGTTCAATATGATTCAATAAAATTCAATAATATCTATTGTATCGAACAAATCGCACTCATTAATAACGCCCGAAGAGAACAACGTAAAATGTTGCCGTAAAATTAATAACAAAGTATTAAAGTTAATAATTTTATACTGTAGAGTAATTTTATTAATAAATGGCACTACGGTAGTACCGTTTATGGGTGTCATTTTTCTCGGTGAGCGCATATTTGTTAAGGATAAGTATGTGCCACGATATAAAAGCAGTGAGCACTTATTCTCGGACTTTTAATGACTGTAATTCCAGGTATTATTTTATTAACAGCGTTGCAGAATTATTAAGCTAAGATAATAATTTAAAATATATCGGTAATTTTTGCAGTCCGCGAGGTAATAAATATGTGGAGCATGATAAGGCATATTTCATTTTCTTTTATTAATTTTTGAATATATTAAACTTAAATAATATTAAATATTGTTGTTAGCATTGAATATACCAAATGACTCATTTATGCATTTTATTATATTCTCAAACAAATTTTACAGAAAAATATTATAGGGAGCCCAACCTAGTCCTTACTTTTTTCAACAATGTTTAATATCTTATACATAATAATTTATACGTAACGTATTTTTTCCGAGAAGCATTTTTTTTAAATATATAATTTAACGCATGTCTAGTATTTACCCGCCTTGTTCTGTCTGTGAACCATCAATTAAATTGCCGTCGGAAAGTCTACCAGATTTTATAATATGTTTGAATATCTTCACTAAAAAAAGTAGAAAAAATCGGATGAAATGTGTTTGATTTTTAAAATAAGTTCCGTTTAAAATATTTTATAGTTTATCAAATATTTCAATTTTTTAACTATAAAATTACTTAATCCGTACTTAATATAATTAATTACTAAATACTAGCAATTTAATCATATGCGTTTTTGATTGGAAACACGTGACAGACAACATTTTTTTTTTAACTCACAATATTTGTCAGTTTTCTTTAGCAATCAGAAATATATAAAGATTCCTATGAGCTAAAATGACAATATTTAAGAGCGATGCCTAAGAAGAACTCCAATGAGAACTTCTCATTTTTACAATTATATGATTATATTAGACCTAATCTAAGACTAAGGACAGACAAATTATGAGTAGAAACTAATTTCAGAAAAATACTGTAAATTGACAGTAAATAAATAATTTCAAAATTATACGTTTTTCCCAAACTTTATTTCCCACGTTCCACTATGGCGTGCTTAAAACTTTCAATTTTAATTATGCTATTTTCTAATCTTATTGTTTAGTGTTTTTTCTCTTTAAATAAATCATTTACCTTGTGATTTGTTTTAAAAATATTATTAATCCTCAATAATTAATTCTATCATTACAAAAAACAATAGTTCCACTACTCTAACATCCTCTCCTCGCTCAAATACCTTAATCTTCGTGACAATTAATTGTTTTGTAAAGGTTTTAAATACTTAACAGGCGCGTAAACTTTATCTCAGGTATTATGAGAACGTTTACAAATAAATCTGGAAAAAAGACCCATTGAAAATTTGAACTATGTGTTGTTTGAAAACATTTTTAACTCCATTTTTTGTTACCTCGTGACGCTCCTTGCTTTCACACAAAAGGACTTGGGAAATGGACACGGGTACTCGTGTAAAAATAAAATATATAGGACTTATTTTTACATTCTAACAACCCATATGGTAAATAAAAATACTACACTACTACAAGCAATAAAAATAATATTGCAATTAATTTTTCTAGTTATTTTAATTTGATTAAGAACTAACAAAAATCATGAACAAAAGGAATGTTGTCACAATGGCTCGGTTTTGTTTCTCAATTATTGTTGCGCCATATGCCAAATAAATGTTCATAGCAATCAGAAATATTTTTTATTATTTTTTTTAAAAATGTGCCGAATCTATTACATCCCACTATCAATTTTATTAATATCCTTTCAGAATGTTTTTATCTAATTTAAATATTTTACACGTGAGTCCTGCAAGCCTGTGGGCGTTATTAAAACTTGTTCTCTTGTCAATTTGTGTGTTTTGTTAGCAGCAATTAAACTCTATTGATTTATGCCGATCATAAAATTTAGGGATTAACTAACGCGCTTTATGAGTTTGTTCAAATAATCATTTAAGATGTGCTTTAAGCCCAGATACGGACTTTGTAATAGTTAGATTTTTGACCAGACTTAGGACATCATAGTAAAATAAAATGGGGTGTTTTTTGTTTTTGGCTACTATGGTAATTCAAATATTATTTCTCGTACTACTAAATAAATCCGAAATAATTCATGTTTAAAATAAATCTTAATATTTAATTCAACACAAAGTAAATTTTATAAAATCAAAAATTAAATTATCTGAGTTTAGAGATTGACTGATCAATAATAATTGTTCTCATTTAGTACATCTTCTTAAATTATTAATTTTAGATTTAAAAAATTTTAGATTTTTATCTAGACTTAGCTAGAAAATCTTAATAAGATTACTATTTCCTGGTCTGTGTCCAATTGCTCTTTTTCGAGATATCCATCTCCCTTTACAATCTAATTAAACAAAATACAATTTGTCCCTAGATCTTCGATCTTAGATCGCAATCAACCGATAATCTATGTCCAAGATGCAAATATGAGGTACATTTTATGCGGTTTACCTCTCGATGTGTACACAAGTAAAGTTAACAGGAGTTTTGATGCAATAAATACCTCACGCATTGTAAAGAATTTAATGCGGGTGTTCGGTTTCTCAGTAAACCTCTGTTTGGTGAAAGAAAAATTTCAAGAATTGGCCAGGTATATATATGCCGTATGCCGTCCTTGTGTTTGTCAGGTGATACATTTATTATTTCCCCAAGACTCTACCATTGTCCGGGCTGAGGTGACCTTAAACACATTGACCAGGGGAGAACCAGGAAAAATAATAATTTGCGACACCAAAATTTGTTTTATTCATCTAATATTATTATTATTTTTTTTGGGTTACATACAATTTCAAGTTTTTACCTCTATGTAGAAGTTATTGACGCGATTAATGTCAAAATGAAATCTGAAATTAACGTAGAAAAATCTTACATGTGATCTTTATTAGCCAGAAGTGTACCAACTGATTAAAGCATAATTTTCGCGTTTAAAATTATAAAATCATAAATATATGTTGGTAATAATTCCTTTTGACCTTTTATATGGTAGTAGTGATTGAAAGTTGTTTGTTCCAAAAAAGTATTTAAAATTATTTGTGCCATATCTTTGTACAATTTATAGTAGTCTTGTTTTTCACCATTTTAGTGATAGTAGGTACTTCACACGTACTAAATTAGTAAATCGTATTATAGTCCTTGGTCTACATCTTCGAATAAATACTTTGTTGTGGTATCTTCTGAAATTTTGTGATTTGAGCTTGTCGTGTCCTTGTGGTAAGGGCATTGGCCTTGCAACCACAGTATTCAGGTTCTATTCCCGTCTCTGATAGCTTTATATGAAGCAGTAGTGATGTCAGTTTCTACTTTAAATTATAGATCGAAGTGTGATTTAATGTGAAAATAGCCTTAAAAGGGTATAAATTCAACAATAGATTTAAAGGGCATTTTGGAAATATTTAATATCAATCTCGACAAAACTAGAAACAACTACCATTGGGTTTCCACCTAATGACGTGGTCTTAAGGAATACATTTCAAATATAATAATATACTAAAAATAGTACCGATTGATATCAAAAAATAATTTCATTTGATGCTTCATCGATAACTACAATAATCTTCCTATCTTACCTCGCTGACTTATCTATCCTTGTTTCTGCAAATTGAATTTCACAACAGCCTCTTCTCCGATGTTACTTATTATTTCAATAAAAAATACAAAAAGATGCCGTTTCTCCACAGCGGAATATTTTAAATACTTTCATTAATCATACCAGATGGTTATCTCACAGAAAATAAATAGTCGCCCATCCTTTGGACTATGGCTACGAGGATAGCCTCGTCCTTTACGATTGCAGTATCGATTTTATGAGCGAGACAAGGACACAGGAAAATATAATTTTTAATATCCTATTTTGGAAAAAAAAACTGGGAAGTTCTAGGATAGTAAAAGAATTTATTGTGATTTTTAGTGAACATGTTTTTTTTTAATTTATTGCGCCTTATAAGGTTTGGTATTTTAAAGAGTTTACTTGATTGTGTATGAGAAATGACATTGATTTTACATTTTTTTAAATTGGCTAGATTTTGGAAAAAAAGAATTATTCACTTGTAGTAAAACTACTTTAAAATAAGAAAGACCATATAATTATTTCTTTAATTAAAATTATTCTAATCTCAATCCTGGCGCTTCAACATGAATCACTCATGCGAAATACCTCTTATTAGATTACAAATTATAACGATTAGCCATAATATTTAATAAATAAAAAATAGCATGTGGGAAATATATTTATATTATAATTTCAACATGTTATTTTGGGGTCCATTTAAATTACGTATACCAATAAATTAATACGAAACAACAAAAAGATGCAAAACGCAGAAAAAATGAAATGAAATTCTTCAGACAGAAAGGTATGCATATTTATAATCTGTTTGACTCTTGTACAGGTGGATATATATATATATATATATATATATATATATATATATATATATATATGTATGTATATTTATTATGTATGTATATTCGTATTAAACATTTCGGTATCACACGCTCCATAGCTCACAGGCATCAGTTAAATCTTTCGACCTGTGCTTGTGAGTTTGAAATAAGCACTCGTTTATTT